GGGAGCCCCCAGTCCCGCGGTCCCCGGCCGGGCCGCCTCGATCCGGCCCCAGCCACCCGCACAAAGGGAAATAAAAACCTCCTCCAATCCCTCTTCACGCTTTCGGAGACACTTTCCCCGCCGCCGCCAGGAGGTGGGACGCTGGGGAGGGGAGAGCGCGGGAGGACGCCCCGGTTCCCACCAGCCCCGGGCCGCGTCCCGGGCAGCAGCGTCCAGGCTCCCCCGCCTCCCCTCGGCCGCGTCCCCCGCCCCTCCCCTCCCCCTGCGCTCCCCTCGGAGGTGACTGAGACCTTCAGCTGTTCTGGGGAGGGAGGGAGCCGCTGCCCGCGGAGGGAAGGGGGGCTGGGGGCGGGAGTCGCCGGGGCCGAGGCCGCGGCAGCTGGACACTGACCCGGACGCCCGAGACTGGCCGCAGCGAGCGCGGAGCGCGGGAGGTGGGGACCGGCTGGGAGTGACACTGCTGGGGAGGGAGAGAGGGAAGAGAGGGGAGGAGGAGAAGGAGGGGAGGGGGAAATTGCCCGGGAAATGGGGGACTGGACTTGACCGCCAGAAGGGGTGAAATTGACCAGCAGAGGGGGTGGGAATGACCGCCACTGAGGGTCGAAATGGAACCGATGTCTGGCGGTGAAACGGACCGGCAGAGTGGGGGTGTGGAAATTGGTGGAGAGGTCACTGGTTGAAATTGATATTGACGCAGCAGAAGGAAGAGGGGGGCAAAGGAAGGGACGGTGGGGATCAGGCTTCCCCTCCCCCAAGAGGGCTCTGCTCTGTTCCCCGATCCCTTCCCAGGGGACTAATTGCGGGCAGGGGGAGGGTTGGGGGCAGCTGGCCTGGGGAAGGGAGATGGTATCTGTGCCTGGCGCCTGTCCTCTGCATCTGTCCCTTTGTGGCTTCTGGGGGGCGGGGGGCGGGAAGAGGGGCAGAAGTGAGAGGGGCCTGGCCTGAACTGGCTGCCTGTTGTCAGCTGCTGCTGCCGTTGTCTGAGGGTGAGGGCACTGAGAGGTTTGGGGGGTGGGAGAGGAAAAGGAAGCCACTGGCCAATTTTCCAGTGCAGAACCATTTTTTTTTCTTTCCCCATAAAGGGGCTTGCCCAGCTCCCCCTAATGACTGGAGTGAGGGGTGGCCAGGAAGGATGGGACCCCAGATTCTCTCCTCTGGTGGCCAGCCCCCCGGTTGGGCACAGGTCATAGCTTGGAGGCGACAGCTGGAGGACGAGACAGCAGTCAGAACTAACACTGCTATGACTGGGCCCTCCTAGCAGCCCGGCGGGGCTGAGGGCAGGGTCTGTCACCCCCTGAGTCTTGGTTTTCCTTATTTGAAAGATGTGGTTTCTAACAGGAAAAGCCAGACAGCTCTAGGAAGGATTCCAGGAGGGACTGAGTTATCACCTGGATTCCTCGTTTTATGGATGGGGAAACCGAGCCACAGAGATGGGAGGGACTTGTTCAGAGCCACTCCACAGCTCATTCTGCCTGGACACTGCCATGGGACCTGGCCTAGGGTGGCACTGGAATCTCTTTTTTTTTTTTTTTTTTTGAGACGGAGTCTCGCCCTGTCACCCAGGCTGGAGTGCAGTGTTGTGATCTTGGCTTACTGCAACCTCCGCCTCCCGGGTTCAACCGATTCTCCTGCCTCAGCCTCCTGAGTAGCTGGGATTACAGGCTCCTGCCACCACGCCCAGCTAATTTTTGTACTTTTAGTGGAGATGGGGTTTCACCATGTTGGCCAGGCTGGTCTTGAACTCCTGACCTCAGGTGATCCGCCGGCCTCGGCCTCCCAAAGTGCTCTTCATGGAATCTGTTCTGCAACTCCTTTCCATGATGAGCTCCATTATCCAGATGGGAAAACTGAGGCCTGGAGCCAACAAGGCAAAGCCCCTGAAGGATGCAGGTGTCTAGACCCTTCTGTTCCTCCCCTTCCCTGCACTGGCTGTGTTCCCCAACACACACCTGTTGAACTCCTTCCTCCCTCCTGAGGTGCATGGTCACCCCCGCTTCCCCCCACCCTTTCAGATCAGCGACAAGGCGGCGTCCCACGGGGCGGCCAGGGAGCACAGCAGATAATTGTCATGCTTTCTGTCAGCCGCAAGGCAATTCCAGGGCGCGGGGATGAGCTGTTGACAGATCTCATCAAATCCGAGTCGTCTGCCTGCCGGATAAGACTAGATGTCTGAGGTATAAATATTTGAAAGGGGCCTTCTAATTACAGTCTGTGCCAGGAATAGCAATTAGAGGCCCCCGGGCCAGAATCAAACGGCACTTGACTTTCCTGTGCTTTGGAGCTGGCTTCTCCTGGGGCTGCACCCCCACCCTACCCCAAGGAGGGGAGAGGGGAGAGGCTGGCAGGAGAGGCAGGAGGAGGAGGTAGAAGAGACAGAGATCCAGGCTGGGGGTCCAGTCACCTTGCCTTGTGACCTTGAATCAGCCACGTAATCTCGTGAGCTTTGGATGTCTTTCTTTTTCTTTTCTTTTCTTTTCTTCTTCTTCTTCTTCTTTTTTTTTTTTTTTTTGAGACAGGGGTCTCGCTCTGTTGCCCAGGCTGGAGTGTAGCATTGCAATCACAGCTCACTGCAGCCTCAACATCCTGGGCTCAAACGATCCCCCCATCTCAGCCTCCCAGTAGCTAAGATTACAGGTGCACACCACCACACCTGGCTAATTTTTTTTGTTTGTTTGTTTGGGGGACAGAGTCTTGCTTTGTTGCCCAGGCCTGGAGTGCAGTGGTGTGATCTCGGCTCACTGCAACCTCCGCCTCCCAGGTTGAAGCAATTCTCCTGCCTCAGCCTCCTGAGTAGCTGGGATTATAGTAGGCATGCACCACCATGCATGGCTAATTTTTGTATTTTTAGTAGAGATGGGGTTTCACCATGTTGGTCAGGCTCGTCTCGAACTCCTAACCTCATGATCCACCTGCCACAGCCTCCTGAAGTACTGAGATTACAGGCATGAGCAACCGCACCTGGCCAACACCTGGCTAATTTTTTTTATAGAAATGGGGTTTCGCTATGTTGCCCAGGCTGTACTTGAACTCCTGTGTTCAAGCAATCCTCCCCGCTCCCAAAGTGCTGGGATTACACTCCCTTTGGCCTCCCAGAGTGCTGGGATTACAGGACTGAGCCACTGCACCAGCTTTGGATTTCTGACCAGGAGAGGAGGGAACCAGGGAGGGCTACCAGGAGGTGGGCGCTGAGTGGGTAATAACAAGGAGGTGGGCGGGGCAGCGGGGACCCTCCTTCCCCAGCATTCTGGGTCTGAGAGGCAGCTCATGGGGGGCTCCTCCAGGGTGGGTGGGGCCCAAGGAACTATCCTCAGGAGGTTCTCCCAGGTTCCAGAATCCCAGCCTGTCAGACACTGGCCCATGACAGTGGGTAAATGAGAGAATAACAGCTCACCCCTGTTAAGCACTTATGGCCAGGCACTGATTTTGGTGCTTTTTGCTTGGTTTCCTTGCTCTTTTTTTTTTTTGAGGTTGAGTCCCGCTCTGTCGCCCAGGTTGGAGTGCAGTGGTGCGATCTCAGCTCACGGCAACCTCTGCCTCCCGGGTTCAAGCGATTCTCCTGCTGCAGTCTCCCAAGTAGCTGGGTTTACAGGTGCCCGCCACCATGTCCAGCTAAATTTTATATTTTTAGTAGAGATGGTGTTTCACCATGTTGGCCAGGCTGCTCTTGAGCTCCTGACCTTGTGATCCGCCCGCCTTGGCCCCCCAAAGTGCTGAGATTACAGGAGTGAGCCACCATGTACAGACTTGCTGTGTTTTTTTGTTGTTGTTGTTTTTTCTTAAAGATATAATTCACATCGGCTGCGGTGACTCACACCTGTAATCCCAGCACTTTGGGAGGCCAAGGTAGGTGGATCACCTGAAGTCAAGAGCTCGAGACCAGCCTGGCCAAGATGGTGAAACCCTGTCTCTACTAAAAATACAAAAATTATCCAGGTGTGGTGTCGGGCACCTGTAACCCAGCTACTCGGGAGGCAGGAGAATCACTTGAACTCGGGAAGCGGAGGTTGCCATAAGCCAAGATTGCACCACTGCACTCCAGCATGGGCAACAGAGTGAGACTCCATCTCAAAAAAAAAAAAAAAAAAAAAAAAAACCCAAAAAACATGACTCACATATCCTACAATTCACCCATTTAGAGTGTACAATTCAGTGATTTTTTAGTAGAGACTGGGTTTCACCATGTTGGCCAGGATGGTCTCCATCTCTTGACCTCGTGATCCACCCGCCTCAGCCTCCCAAAGTGCTGGGATTATAGGCTTGAGCCACCGTACCTGGCCAGGCCTGTGTTTTTTAATTTTTAAAATTCTTCTAGAGGGTCGGGTGTGGTGGCTCACACCTGTAATCCCAGCACTTGCAGAGGCTGAGGCAGGTGGATCACCTGAGGTCAGGAGTTTGAGACCAGCCTGGCCAACATGGTGAAACCCCACCTCTACTGAAAATACAAAAATTATCCAGGCTTGGTGGCAGGCACATTGTAATCCCAGCTACTCGGGAGGCTGAGGTTGGAGAATCGCTTGAACCTGGGAGGCAGAGGTTGCAGTGAGTTGAGATCGTGCCACTGCACTCCAGCCTGGGCAACAGAATGAGACTCCATCTAAAAAAAAATTTTTTTTTTCTAGAATTGGGGTCTTGCAATGTTACCCAGGCTGGTCTTGAACTCCTGGCCTCAAGTGATCCTCCTGCCTCGGCCTCCCAAAACTTTGGGATTGCAGGTGAGAGCCACCACACTCAGCCATCTTTCTTTTTTTTTTTTTTTTTTTGAGACGGAGTCTCACTCTGTCACCCAGGCTGGAGTGCAGTGGCATGACCTTGGCTCACTGCAACCTCCGTCTCCCAGGTTCAATCAATTCTCCTGCCTCAGCCTCCTGAGTAGCTGGGATTACAGGCGCATGCCACCACACAAGGCTAATTTTTGTATTTTTAATAGAGACGGGGTTTCGCCATGTTGGCCACGCTGGTGTTGAACTCCTGACCTCAGGTGATCCGCTCGCCTCGGCCTCCCAAAGTGCTGGGATTATAGGCGTGAGCCACTGTGCCCAGCCAGCTTTGCCTTTCTTAACTCACAGTCTGATGGCAGAGACATGGCCTTGTCCACAGGAGCCCCCAGTCTGATGGAGGAGTTGTGGGTCTCACTTCAGGAACTTCCATTTGATGGGAGAGATGCGGCCCTACCTTGAAGGGTTCCCACTCTGATGAAGGAGACATAAACCTATCTTTGGGAGTCTCCAGTCTGATGGGGGAGGCAGGTCCAACCTTCAGAGGCCCCCTGTCTAATGCAGGAGACATAGCCTTGACTTCAAGCATCCCAGAGTAATGGAGGAGACACAGGCCTGCCTTCAAGGGTCCCCAGTCTGAAAAGGGAGGCATAGTCCAAACTTCAAGCGTCCCCAGTCAGATGGCAGAGGCATGGTGTAAACTTCAAGGGCCCCAGTCCAACACGGAAGGCATGGCCCCAACTAACTCACAAGGTCTCAAGTCTATTAGAGGAGACGTGAGCCTTCCTTCTAGAGGCCCCTATCTGATGGGGGAGGCATGATCCAGCCCGTCCAGGACTCCAGTCTGACATGCAGGCAATTGCAGTGGAGTTGCAGTGGGGCAGATAACCAAAGGCATGGCCTTGGAACCTGGAGATTCAAACCCGGGCCCTGTCCCTCCCTCACCCTGGAGGTTGAGAAGCCTCCCTTACCCATAAATGGGGCAGCAACAGAGCGTGTCCCCGGGGGTGTTTGTGGACCGAGTGGGTGGTGTCATCCCATTCCCAGATAAGGAAACAGGCTCAGGGAGCTCCAGGTTCACACGGCGTGGGCCCCTCTTCTCCTGTAAGCCCAGGCTGGGGTGGCAGTGGGCTCCAGCGGAAGGGGATCCCATCACCCCTCCTCCCCATCCCTCTGATGTGCTCCGGCAGCCAGGCAGCCCCGGAGGAGTTGATGGAGGAGATCTCAGATGAAGGCTGACAGCTCCCGAAGACAGGATGACAGACGCGGGCTGGTGGGGAACGGGTACTGTCGGCAGGGATGGGGGAAGGGCAGGCTTCAGAGGGTGAAGGTAGGGGGCGCTGGGAGGTGGGGCAGGGCAGGGAGGGGCCCCCACTGGTCAGGAAGGACAGAGCCCGATGCATGGCTGTGCCTGCCCCTCGACTCCCTCAGCCCTGGGAACCCCCAGGAGTGAACTGGGAGCCGACAGCAGAATTGCCCCTGGGACACAGGGTGAGAGAACAAAGCTTCCCAGGAGAAAAAAAAGAAATAAAAATAAAATTCCAGTGATGTATGAAAGAGTGGCGTGTGGGAAGGGAGGAGGTGAAACCTGGGGCTCCCTGAGCCTGCTTCCTCACCGGGGAATGGGGTGATGCCCACTCAACCCATTTGTGAGCACGCACAATGTGCCGGCTGGTTTCAGTGTGCTGGGTTGCACCAATTTTTTTGAGATGGAGCCTCACTCTGTTGCCCAAGCTGGATGGAGTGCAGTGGCACGATCTTGGCTCACTGCAACCTCCGCCTCCTGGGTTCAAGTTACTCTCCTGCCTCAGCCTCTGGAGTAGCTGGGATTATAGGCGCCTGCCACCACACCCAGCTAATTTTTGTATTTTTAGTAGAGACAGGGTTTCACCATGTTGGCCAGGTTGGTCTCAAACTCCTGACCTCAAGTGATACACCTACCTCGGCCTCCAAAAGTGCTGGGATTATAGGCATCAGCCACCACGTGTGGCCCAAATAAACTTCTACTGTGCATAATTTACCCCATCTGTGGTGTTCTGCGAAAGCAGCAGCAGATGGACAAAGATAGAAGCTGCAGACAAGGTCTGTGTAGGTAAGAAACTGAGAGTGTCTTGTGGCCAACAGCCGTGAGGGACTGAATTCTGTCAACAACCACAAAGGTTTGGAAGCAGGTCCTTCCCCAGTTGAGCCTTCAGATGACACCCCAGCCCGGGCCTGTGTCCTTTTTTTTTTTTTTTCTTTGAGACAGAGTCTCACTTTGTCCCCCAGGCTGGAGTGCAATGGCACAATCTTGGCTCACTGCAACCTCCACCTCCTGGGTTCAAGTGATTCTCCTGTCTCAGCCTCCCAAGTAGCTGGGATTACAGGCATGAGCCACCCACGCCCAGCTAATTTTTGTATTTTTTGTAGAGACAGGGTTTTGCCATGTTGGCCAGGCTGCTCTTGAACTCATGACCTCAGGTGATCTGCCTGCCTCAGCCTCTGAAAGTGCTGCGATTACAGCCGTGAGCCACTGTGCCCAGCCTGGCCTCTGTCTTGATTGAATCCTTGCTAAACCTTAAAGCAGGAGACCCAGTGAAACCACACCCAGCTTTCTGTTGTTTTTAAGTTGCTCAGTTTTGGAATAATTTGTTATGCAGCACAAGAAAACAAACAGAGGAAGAGGTGAGCAATAAACACGCCCCCCAAGGCATCCTCTCTGCACCCTCTTAGAACTCACTTACCTGCTTTATTTTCATCATAGTCATCACCACTTTTGGTATACATTATTTATTTGTATGTTATTGTAAAACAATACATAGAAGTTTTTTTTTGGCTGGGCGCAGTGGCTCACACCTGTAATTCCAGCACTTTGGGAGGCTGAGGTGGGCAAATCACTTGAGGTCAGGAGTTCAAGACCAGCCTGGCCACATAGTGAAACCCCATCTCTACTAAAAATAGAAAAATTAGCCATGCATGGTGGTGTGTGCCTGTAATCCCAGCTACTCTGGAGGCTGAGGCATGAGAATCATTTGAACCCAGCGGGCAGAGGTTGCAGTGAGCCAAGATCATGCCACTGCACTCCAGCCTGGGTGACAGAGTGAGATGCTGTCTCAAAAAAAAAAAAAAAAAAAAAGTTAACATAAGAAGGGGTGTCGGGACTGGGCGTAGGGCTCAAGCCTGTAATCCCAGCACTTTGGGAGGCTGAGGCGGGCGGATCATGAGGTCAGGAGATCGAGACCATCCTGGCTAACATGGTGAAACCCCGTCTCTACTGAAAATACAAAAAGAATTAGCTGGACGTGGTGGCGGGCGCCTGCAGTCCCAGCTACTCAGGGGGCTGAGGCAGGAGAATGGCGTGAACCTGGGAGGTGGAGTTTGCAGTGAGCCGAGATAGTGCTACTGCACTCCAGCCTGGGCGACAGAGAGAGACTCCATCTCAAAAAAAAAAAAAAAAGAAAAAGAAAAAAAAGAAAAAAAATTTAAAAATTAGGTAGGTGTGGTGGCTCTGCCTCTAGTCCCAGCTATTTGGGAGGCTGAGGTGGGAGGATCACTTGAGCCTGGGAGATTGAGGCTGCAGTGAGCTGTGACTATACCACTGCACTCCAGCCTTGGTGAAAGACCAAGATCCTGCATGAAAAAGGTGGGGGTTGGGTGAGGGAAGCTAGGCCCAGGATAGGAACTGCGGCATGTTCCTGTAATCCTAGGATTTTAGGGGACTGAGGCAGGAGGGTTGGTTGAGGACAGGAGGTTGAGTCCAGACTGGGCAACATGGCCAGACCCTGTTTCTCAATTTGTTTTTTTTAAAGAAAGAAAGAAAGAAAGGCCAGGCATGGTGGCTCACACATGTAATTCCAGCACTCTGGGCGGCCAAGGCAGGCGGATCACCTGAGGTCAGGAGTTCGAGACCAGCCAGGCCAACATGGCGAAACCCCGTCTCTACTAAAAATACAAAAGTTAGCAGAGTGTGGTGGCAGGTGGCTGTAATCCCAGCTGCTCGGGAGCCTGAGGCAGGAGGATTGCTTGAACCCGGGAGGTGGAGGTTGCAGTGAGCCAAGATCGCGCCATTGCACTCCAGCCTGGGAGACGAGAGCGAGACTTCATCTCCAAAAAAAAAAAAAAAAAAGTAAAGAAAGAAAAAAAATAAATAAAAGAAAAAAGATAAATAAAAGAAAACAAGGCCGGGCGCGGTGGCTCACGCCTGTAATCCCAGCACTTTGGGAGGCCGAGGCGGGCGGATCACAAGGTCAGGAGATCGAGACCACGGTGAAACCCCGTCTCTACTAAAAATACAAAAAATTAGCCAGGCGCGGTTGTGGGCGCCTGTAGTCCCAGCTACTCGGGAGGCTGAGGCAGGAGAATGGCGTGAACCCGGGAGGCGGAGCTTGCAGTGAGCCGAGATCGCGCCACTGCACTCCAGCCTGGGCGACAGAGCGAGACTCCGTCTCAAAAAAAAAAATAAATAAAAATAAATAAAAGAAAACAAAAAAAGCCCAGATGGTAAGCCTGGGCACACTTAGGCGACAACTAAATATAAATATCTGGGCTCATGCCTGTGACCCCAGCACTTTGTGAGGCCGAGGCAGGAAGATCGCTTGAGCCCATGAATTCAAGATCAACCTGGGCAACATGGCGAAACCCAGTCTCTTCTAAATATACAAAAAGTTAGCCAGGAATGGTGGCACACACCTGAGGTTCCAGCGACTCACGAGACTGAGGAGGGAGGATCACCTGAGCTCGGAAGTTCAAGGCTGCAGTGAGCCAAGAATACGCTACTGCACTCCAGCCTGGGCAAGAGTTAGATCCTGTCTCAAAAAACAAACCTCTGTGAATGCCCCTCGAATTGTGCTAACAGAGCCTTGTCCTGGGGCCTCCTCAGACTCTGGGAGAGAGAAGGGGCCCGGGCGGTTGGCAGATTTCCTTTTATTGGTTCTAGACAGTTTGTGGAAGGAAGAGATGAGGCCGTCTAGAGGCCAGTGGGCTCGCCCAGTGCCCCAGACACTGACACCCTGAAGTAGTGTTGGAAGCTGAGACGCACTAGGGATACTGCAGCCCTAAGCATGGTGACAGGTGGAGGCAGGAGCAGCAGGTGTCCCCGATGTGTTGAGAGGCTGGTGAGGGCAGAGAGAAGCGACCTCCCGGGGTTGAGGTCCCTGTTGGCCCTACGTGCTTGGAGCACGCTGGCACTTGTCTGTAGGGTCTCCGGTTACGCCAAGGCCTCCTGCCCCGACCACCAGCAACGCCGGCCTCAATGTGGCTGAAGCTGGATGTGTGGCCCTGACCCAGGGCAGGGGTCCTAGGAGGGCTCAGTTGCTGCCGTTGCTGTCGTCACTGTCCAGGTACGCACCCAGCTGGCTCAGGGAGGACGCGCCAGGCGTCGGGGGTGCAGGGTCGGCCTCCTTCCTGCTCTGCGGGGCTCCTGGGGGGAGAGGGAGAGTTAGCTCATCTCAGCTCTAGAGCAGACGGGCCAGGGACAAGGCCTGGAGCACAGGACCGGCCACCTCTGCAGGTTTGCAAAGCCCAGAGGCGACAGCATGTGAATGGCCTGGCCTTTCCGGATGGCACCTGATGGGACCCATCGCAGATTTACGTCTGCACACCTAGGACTCAACAGCTTCGCTTCCGAACAATGGCCCATGCAAACCCTGCCCAGGCAGGCAACGTGCACTGCCAAAAATGGAAATGGCGCAAAAGTTCAAAGTCCAGTCACTGTGGACTTAATCACCTTAGGAAAAATCATACTAATGCAATTAAGAGGGGCAGATTCTATGCCCAGCTGTGAAAGCCACTCTGGCTCTCCGTCTTTTCCTCTGACAAATGGGATAATTTTTTTTTTTTTTTGAGACGGAGTCTCGCTCTGTCACCCAGGCTAGAGTGCAGTGGCGCGATCTTGGCTCAGTGCAACCTCCGCTTCCCAGATTCAAGAAATTCTCCTGCCTCAGCCTCCCAAGTAGCTAGGATTACAGGCACCCGCCACCATGCTTGGCTAATTTTAGTAGAGATGGGGTTTCATGATGTTGGCCAGGCTGGTCTTGAACTCCTGACCTCAAGTGATCCGCCGGTCTTGGCCTCCCAAAGTGCTGGGATTACAGGTGTGAGCTACTGCGCCTGGCCAGACGGCATAATTTTTACCAGCACTGATAAAAATGTCTCAAATGTCTCACAGTCTCGTCGTGTGCCAGGGTCTACTCAAGTGCCACCGCTCACGGAATCAACCCAAACCGGGAGCCGACTCTACCTACGTGAGGTAGGTCCCCTTGGCTGCATTTTACAGGACAAGACACTGAGGCCCCGCTGGGGGGAAAGTCCCTTGGCCAAGGCCATAGGACAAGCAGGTAGGGGTGCAAAGTACCTGCCCCCCGGATGCTTGGCTCTGAATTCTGGTCTTAACCACCTGGCAATGCTGACCCCACTCCCATCCTCCATCCCCCAGGGCTGGGGGTGTGGGACTCTCGTCCCTACAGAGCACCAGGTGTGTGACAACAGAGACACACATGCCATACAGACAGCCCCGGAGGTGGGACGGGGGATCCTGGCACCTGCTGGCAGCGAAGGCTGGGCAGGGAAACACGGATTCAACATTGATTTTATACATTCCCACAGGATTTGGGCTTTAAAAGCAAGCACTGGCTCTTTTTGTAATTGAAAGACAAAAAGAGGCCGGGCGCGGTGGCTCACGCCTGTAATCCCAGCACTCTGGGAGGCCGAGGTGACTAGATCACCTGAGGTCGGGAGTTCAAGACCAGCCTGACCAACATGAAGAAACCCCGTCTCTACTAATAATACAAAAGATTCGCCGGGCGTGGTGCTGTAGTTCCAGCTATTTGGGAGGCTGAGGCAGAGAACTGCTTGAACCGGGAAGGCGGAGGTTGCAGTGAGCCGAGATGGCACCACTGCACTCCAGCCTGGGAAACAGAGCAAGACTGACTCAAAAAAAAAAAAAAAGAAAGAAAGAAAAAAGACAAAAATAAGCTGCCCGCCTTCTCTGCTCACTCCACTAATTGGTCCTGTGGGGGTTGCAGGCCACCCTCAACCCACCCCATGAAGCTTCTGTAATTGCACAGGGAGCGCTGCCACCACCTGGAGGTCACTATGGAAACCGCGCCCGGCTCTGGGAACTCTTGTGACCTTACCTGGGGCGGGGGCTGCCTGAGGCTGCCCATTGCCGCAGTCCAGGTCGGCCTTTGCCTTCTTCACCACGACCAGCCTCGACAGCGGGGGCCGGCTGCCCAGGCTGCCAACGCTCTGCTCCCAGACCTCCACCTTCCTCTTGGGCTTTGGGGCCTGCAGGTGATGGGGACATGTGTGGGGGTCTGGCCTGGATCCAGGGCCCAGTCAGGCCCCTCTGCCCTCAACCCCTGCTCACTGCCCCATGCACACTCTTCCACTGCTGCACTGACCATGTTCCTCCTCTGCTCTAAACTCCTCTATGGCTCCCCACTGCCCCAGGCTTGGCACTCAAGGTCTCTGTCCATTCTCCATCCCACATAGCCTGCCCTGGCACTTCCTGAATCATACTGTGACTTCTCATCTCCACGCCTTTACCTATGCTATTCCCTTCACCAGGGATGGCCCCTTTTCCATGCACTCACTTGGTGAACTCCTACTCACCCTTCAATACCCAACACAAGACACCCCTCCTGAGAAGCCCATCATGGTTCAAGCTCACATGCAGGCTGCATGTCCACGCTCACAGTGCCCACAGTGCCCTCTGCTGGCTGTTATAACTCTCTTCCCAGCTCTGCCGTGAGCTCCTGTCTTCCCCACTGCTGGCTCTGTGGTGCCACAAACAGTTCCTGGCACAAGGAGGTGCTCAATGTACTTGAGAGAACGCATGAAAATGGAGGAAGCCGCCTTGGGAAAGAGTTAGGGGCAGATAGAAAAGACTTCCAGTTCCTTCACTGCAACAGAAGGGACCTGTTAATCTATTTTATCTATTAAATTTTTTTTTGGAGAAGGTCTCACTCTATTGCCCAGGCTGGAGTGCAGTGGTGCAATCATACATAGCTCATTGCAGCCTCGAACTCCTGGGCTCAAGCGATTCTCCTGACTTAGCCCTGCAGGTGCACGCCACCATGCCGGGCTAACATTTTAAATTTTTATAGAGACAGGGTCTCACTCTGTTACCCAGGCTGGTCTCGAACTCCTGGCTCAAGCAATCCTCCCATCTCAGCGTTCCAAAGAGCTGGGATGATAGGCGTGAGCCACTGCATCTGGCCTCTTTAATCTGTTTTATGTTTAAATAGAGGAAGTGGTAACCACTGGGTTAAGGAAGTCCCAATGGGTGCTCTACCCTCACGGAGCTCACTGTGGGGAGGGAGAGGAACAAGGAGACCAACACGCAGGACTACATCCATCTGGGTGAGAGAGAAGCCAGGGTGCATGAGCTTGAATTGTGAGGATGAGCTTCTCAAAGGAAGGGTGTCTTGCATTGGGTATTGAAGGGTGGGTAGGAGTTCACCAAGCGAGAAGGAAAAGGGGGCATCCCAGGTAAGGGGAATGGCACAGGTAAAGGTGTGATGAGAAGCCACCGTGTGATTCAGGAAGTGCCAGGGCAGGTTATGTGGGATGGAGAATGGGCAGAGGCCTTGAGTGCCAAGCCGATGGTGTGAGGGGCGGCCACTGCTAAGGTGGTGGAGAGGCCTCCTTAAAGTTGTGGCTCTGGGCCGGGTGCGGTGGCTCACGCCTCTAATCCTGGCACTTTGGGAGGCCAAGGTGGGTGGATCACGAGGTCAGATCGAGACCATCCTGGCTAACACAGTGAAACCCCATCTCTACTATAAATACAAGAAATTAGCCAGGCGTGGTGGCACATGCCTGTAATCCCAGCTACTCGGGAGACTGAGGCAGGAGAATCGCTTGAACCTGGGAGGTGGAGGTTGCAGTGAGCTGAGATTGTGCCACTGCACTCTAGCCTGGGTGACAGGGCGAGACTCTGTCTCAAAAAAAAAAACAGTCGTGGCTCTGGGCTGATGTTAGAACGAGGAAAACAAGTCAAAAGGCACAGATGGCCAGGTGCAGTGGCGCACACCTGTAATTCCAACACTTTGGGAGGCCGGGGCGGGTGGACCACTTGAGGTCAGGAGTTCAAGACCAGCTTGGTCAACACGGTGAAACCCTGTCACTTTATTAATAAAAATAAAATACAAAACAGCCAGGTGTGGCAGCACACGCCCGTAATCCCAGCTACTGAGGAGGCTAAGGCAGGACAATTACTTTAGCCTGGGAGGCGGAGCTTGCAGTGAGCGGAGACTGTGCCACTGCATTCCAGCCTGGGCGAAAGAACGAGACCGTCTCAAAAATAAAAATAAGATACCTAGGTTAGTTCCCAAACCTGTTTCTACAGGTGGTACTCATCATCATTAAACTAAACGAAGGATTGGGAGGCCAAGGTGGGAGGACTGCTTGAAGACAGGAGTTTGAGACCAGCCTGGACAACATACAGACTCATCTCTAATAAAAAAAAAAAAAAAAAAAAAGAAAAGAAAATTAAAAATGAGCTGGCTGTGGTGGCATGCACTTGTAGTCCCAGCTACGTGAGAGGCTGAGGTGGGAGGATCATGTGACCCCAGGAGTTGGAGGCTGCCGTGAGCTGTGATCACATCACTGCACTCTAGCCTGGGTGACAGAGCAAGACCTCATCTCTAAAATAAACCAAGAAAATGCAAGTGTGGAGATATTCCTTCCTATAAAAGTTAGGGTGAAGGTTTGAAAAGTCTTGATGAAGGTGTATCATGTAAAACCAAATAAAACACCTGCGATAAAATCAGGTACAGGCACAAGACTGAGGGAATACATCATAAAAGGTTGGACTGCTTTCAAAGTCGCTTTACTCTGTTGATTCATTTAAAAAAAAAAGAGAGAGGAAGTAGTAGACAATGAATTCTGGGAGTGGTTTATGCAAGAACCACAGTGTGAGAACTCGAATCAGGGGATATAGCTTCAAAGAAAGGATCTTTTAGAAAACTGTCTTGGGGTCAGCCATGGTGGCTGATGCCTGTAATCCCTGTGCCTTTAGAGGCCAAGGCAGGAGAACTGCTGGAGGCCAGGAGCAGGAGACCAGCCTGGGCAACACAGCCAGACCGCATCTCTGCAAAAACAATTTGAAAAATTAGGGGCCAGGCGCAGTGGCTCACGCCTGTAATCCCAGCACTTTGGGAGGCCGAGGCAGTTGAATCACCTGAGGTCAGGAGTTCGAGATCAGCCTGGCTAACATGATGAAACCCCATCTCTACCAAAAAAGACAAAAAAAGTAGCCGGGCGTAGTGGTGGGTGCCTGTACTCCCAGCTACTTGGAAGGCTGAGGCAGGAGAATGGCGTGAACCCGGGAGGCGGAGCTTGCAGTGAGCCGAGATCGCGCCACTGCACTCCAGCCTGGGCAACAGAGCGAGACTCCGTCTCAAAAAAAAAAAAAAAAAAAAAAAATTAGCCAGGCATGGTGGCAGGCACCTGTAATCCCAGCTACTTGGGAGGCTGAGGCAGAAGAATCGCTTGAACCCGGGGGGCGAAGGTTGCAGCGAGCCAAGATTACACCACTGCACTCCAGCCTGGGCAACAAGAGTGAAACTGTCTAAAAAAAGAAAAAAGAAAAGAAAAATTAGTCAGGCATGGTGATGTGTGCCTGTGGTCCCACCTACTCAGGAGACTGAGGTGGGAGGATTGCTTGAGCCCAGGAGGTTGAGGCTGTAGCGAGCTGGGACTGCACCACTGCACTCCAGCCTGGGCAACAGAGCAAGACTCTGTGTTTAAAAAAAAAAAAAGAACAATCGTTTCTGTGTGTCTGTGTTATTGGTTTATGAGCCCCTACTTTTACCACCTTCTTCAATGAACAAACCAGAGTGGCTGAGGCCACCTTGGATGAGTCAGCTGTGGTGGAAAATGCTGGTCATCTGCCAAAGATCCTGCCCCCCTTCTTTTTTTGTTTTTTGAGATGGAGTCTCACTCTTTCACCCAGGCTGGAGAGTAATGGTGCAATCTTGGCTCACTGCAACCTGTGCTCCCAGGTTCAAGTGATTCTCCTGCCTCAGCCTCCCGAGTAACTGGGATTACAGGCATGCACCACCATGCCCGGCTAATTTTTGTATTTTTAGTAGAAATGGCGTTTCCCCATGTTGGCCAGGCCAGTCTTGAACTCCTGATGTCAGATGATCTGCCTGCCTCAGCCTCCCAAAGTACTGGGATTACAGCACTTTGAGCCACGGCGCCCGGCCTCCCTTCGTTCTAGTTAGCAGCACAGCCAGGCACAGACCAGCTGGAGGACGCATCTCAGTTTCCTTCGCAGCCAGATGGGGCCTTGTGCCTGTGCTGTGGCCTATGGCATGAGAGAAGAACTGAGCTGGGCCGCATCTGAGGCTGAGTGGTCCTCCACGCACCTTTTGCCTTCCCACAGCCAGACCCCGAAGGTGCTCTGAGCCAGCTGTGAACACAGCGCAGGAAGCCGTGCTCCAGGAGAAGGAAGGAGCCTGAATCCCTGAATGGCTCCATGGAGCAGAGCTGCCCGGAAGTCCTAGAGTGTCAGCCCAGGGCTCTTACATGATTGAGAAATAAACTTCTATGTTCTTTCTTTACATTCCCTTCTTTCAGCAGCTTAAACAGGGGTTGGCAAATTACAGACCCATAGGCCTGGCACAGGTTTTAGTAAATTAAGTTTTTTTTTGAGACAGAGTCTCACTCTGTCACCCAGGCTGGAGTGCAGTGGCATGATCTTGGCTCGCTGCAACCTCCGCCTCCCAGGTTTAAGTGATTCTCCTGCCTCAGCCTCCCGAGTAGCTGGGATTAATAAGCGTGAGCCACTGTACTCAGCCTTAATTTTTATTTATTTATTTTAGACAGGGTCTCACTCTTGCTCAGGCTGGAGTTCAGTGACACTGATACAGCTCACTGTAGCCTTGACCTTCTGGGCTCCAGCAGTCCTCCTGCCTCAGTCTCTCAAGTAGCTGGGACCACAGATATGCACCACCACCCATGACTAATTTTTGTAATTTTGTAAAGAAGGGGTCTCACTTTGTTGCCCAGGCTGGTCTCAAACTCCCGGCCTCAAGCGATCCTCCTGCCTTGGCCTCACAAAATGCTGGGATTACAGGCAAGAGCCACTGCACCCACCCTATAAATAAAGCTTTTATTGGCACCAGGCAACGCCCACTTATTTACACCTGATCATGGTTGTTTTGGGCTATAGCCACACAGTGGAGGAGTTAGGATGCAGACTGGCCTTTTAAGAAAAAGTCAAGCTCTGGCTGGGTACAGTGGCTCAGGCCTGAAATCCCAACACTTTGGAAGGCCGAGGCAGGCATATCACGAGGACAAGAGATTGAGACCATCCTGCCCAACATGGTGAAACCCCGTCTCTACTAAAAATACAAAAAATGAGCCAGGTGTGGTGGTGGGCGCCTGTAGTCCCAGCTACTTGGGAGGCTGAGGCAGGAGAATCACTTAAACCTGGGAGGCGGAGGTTGCAGTGAACCGAGATTGTGCCACTGCACTCCAGCCTGGTGACAGAGCAAGACTCTGTCTCAAACAAACAAACAAAAGAAAAAGTCAAGCTGACCCCTGGCTTCAGTTATCCCTAGTTCACCTGGGAGTCCCCGGGACTCAGGCAGCCCCCCTCACCTCGTCCAGGATGGCGGTGGGGTTGGGCCGAAGGGCTGGCTGCAGGGGCGCGGGGGCAGCCTCATCCTCTGAGTCGGAGTCCTCCAGCAGCCTTCGCTTTCTGGCTTCCTCCAACAGGGCTCTGTGGGATGGAAGATGGGAACCTGGACGTGCTCTGCACGGGGAACAGGGCCTGGGATGCGCCTGCTGGGGTGGCGAGGGGCCTGGGTGCCTAGAGATCTCTTTTTGTCCTCAGTGAGCAGGGGTGGGAGGGAGTGGGGGCGCACAGATTACTGTCTTTTTTTTTTTTTTTTTTAAAGAGACAAGGTCTAGGCCGGGCGCGGTGGCTCACGCCTATAACCCCAGCACTTTGGGAGGCCGAGGCGGGTGAATCACGAGGTCAGGAGATCGCGACCATCCTGGCTAACACGGTGAAACTCCGTCTCTACTAAAAATACAAAAAATTAGCCGGGCACGGTGGCAGGCGCCTGTAGTCCCAGCTACTCGGGAGGCTGAGGCAGGAGAATGGCGTGAACCCGGGAGGCGGAGCTTGCAGTGAGCCGAGGTCGCGCCACTGCACTCCAGCCTGGGCGACAGAGCGAGACTCTGTCTAAAAACAACAACAAGACACAAAAAACACAAGGTCTCACTCTGTCACCCAAGGCGGGGTGCAGTGGCACAATCATAGCTCACTGCAACTTCCACCTCCTGGGCTCGAGTGATCCTCCCCACGCAGCTTCCTGAGTAGCTGGGTCGACAGGCGTGTGTCCCTATGCCTCATTAATTTTCATTTCATTTAATTTTTGAGACAAAGTCTCGCTCTGTGGCCCAGGCTGGAGTGCAGTGGGGCAATCTTGGCTCACCGCAACCTCTGTCTCCTGGGTTGAAGCGATTCTCCTGCCTCAGCCTCCCGAGTAGCTGGGACTACAGGTGCCTGCCACCATGCCTGGCTAATTTGTGTGTGTGTGTGTGTGTTTTTTTTTGAGATGGAGTCTTTCTCTGTCGCCCAGGCTGGAGTGCAGTAGTGCGATCTTGGCTCACTGCAACCTCCACCTTCTGGGTTCAAGCAATTCTCCAGCCTCAGCCTCCCAAGTAGCTGGGACTACAGGCAGGCACCACCATGTCCAGCTAATTTTTGTATTTTTAGTAGAGGTGGGGTTTCTCCATGTTAGCCAGGCTGGTCTCAAACTCCTGACCTCAGGTGATCGCCCGCCTCGGCCTCCCAAAGTGCTGGGATTACGGGCGTGAACCACCGCACCCAGTCTGCTTTTTAATTTTTAACTTTTTTTTAGACGTAATCTTGCTCTGTCGCCCAGGCTGGAGTTCAGCGGCACCACCTTGGCTCACTGTAACCTCCGCCTCCTGGGTTCAGGCAATTCTCCTGTCTCAGCCTCCGGAGCAGCTAGGATTACAGGCATCCACCACCACGCCCAGCTAATTTGTTTTTGTATTTTTAGTACAGATGGCCCTTGGCCATGCTGGCCAGGCTGGACTCAAACTCCTGACCTCAGGTGATCCGTCCACCTCGGCCTCCCACAGTGCGGGATGGGGGGCAGGAGGCCCCGTGCCTGGCCCCTTCTACATTTTTACATTAACTTTTCCATGTCCATTGAGGGCAGTGGTGGGGTTAAGCGCCTGGATGCTGGAACCAGCCTGTCTGGATGGAGCCTGGAGGGTCATCTTGGTGGGGCCCATGTCTGGACCTCCCTGGACCTCAGCCCTCCTGCCCATGACGAAAATCACACTGACTCCCAGGGCTGTGTGGGTAGTGAGGTTAGAGCCGCGCCCGGCGCCCGGAAGGTACGGGATGAATGCAGGCTCGCAACACTGTTCTGCACGGCATCGCTGATCTGTGCACCAATTATGCACTGATGAGGAACCTACCATAAACCCAAACCTGCTGGAAGCCCTGGGGATGCAGGAGAGGCCACCACGTCCCTGTCCTTACAGCTCAGATTCTAAAGGACGGAGGGGAGACGAGGTACCAGGAAAGGAGGGGATCAGCATGCGGGCTCAGAGGTGGTCGGCGTCAAAGGCATTCACCAGCCAGCCGCAGGGGCTCACACCTGTCATCCAGCACTTCGGGAGGCTGAGGCAGGAGGATCGCTTGAGGCCGGGAGTTCAAGACCAGCCTGGCCAACATAGCGAGGTCCCGTCTACAAAAATAAAAACAGTTAGCTGGGCATGGTAATGTGCCCCTGTGGTCCCAGCTACCCAGGAGGCTGAGGCAGGAGGAATGCCTGAGCCTGGGAGATGGAGGCTACAATGAGCTATGGCTGCAGTACCGCACTCCAGCGTGGGTGACACGGCGACACCCTGTCTCAAAGAAAAGAAAAGTGTTCACCCGGGAGGCCTGAGGCTGTGTCCTCAGAAGGCGGCTGGTGAGGGTGGCCCTTGGTGGGTGTCTGGGAGCCTGTGCGGGGGACCTCCCACCCTCATGGATGGGACGGGCTCTGGGGCCTCAGCTGTTCCGGCAAACACCATGGTTTATGCCGGAGCCCTGTTTTCCTGTCGAGTCTGGAATCCCGGCATGGGCCAGGCAGCGGGGCCTGTGGGACCTCCCATAGGAACCCCACGCTGGGTCTCTAGGAGCTTTCCTGGGGATGGCGCCTCCCAGTCCTCCCAGCTCGGGCTGGGGGATGAGGCGCGTCCTGCGAAGCTGCACCAGGAGAGGATCTGGAAGTCCCGGCCCCCGACACATCCCAAATGCCTTTTCCCTTTGCTGAATCTGCTGTGTCCTCTCACTGTGACAAACCGCAGTCATGCGGGTGACAATGTGCTGAGTCACCATGCCTGGCAGTGGGCTGGGGACCCCTGAGACAGACGCCACAAGGGAGAAAGTGAGATTGGCGGTGGGAAAGGGGTCCCTGAAAAGGCGACACTGCAGAGAGCAGCGGAAGGGTTTGGGGCAGAGGCAGCGCCTGCCAGTGCAGAGGCTGTGAGGTGGGGCTGGGTTGGACCCGCCCGGACTCACGCGGTCTCCTGCTCGTCCTCTTCCTGCTCCTGCCTCCGCCGCTCCTCCTCGGACAGGCGGTGCTGCCGCAGCATGGCCTCAAAGTCCACGTGTGCCTGCCGCTGGTTCAGGTCTTTCAGCTCCTGGAGGTTCTCCAGCACCTCCATCTCCAGCTTGGAGTCCTTGGTCCGGTTCTCCAGCACCTGGTGGGGGCAGGGTGGTGGGGCTGAGTGCATGGGGATCACACCCCGGGGCAAATCCTGCCCGGCCTCGCGGGCCACCACGGGCCAAGGGAGGAATCCCCTACCCACATGTTTCCATCCTGCTCAGGGAACCCCCTGCCCACGCCCAGAGCTCTGTGTCCATTTCACAGGTGAGAACATTCAGGTCTGGGGAGGGAAAGTGACCACATGGGGCTGAGCAGTGGTGGAGCCAGGATCTGAGCCCCTGGACAGGGTGGGGTGGAAAGATGCTGGCTCTGGACTCAGGTGGCCTGGATTTCCGGCCTGGTGCCATCTTTCAGTAAGAATAATAAAGAAAAATTTGGCCAGGCGCGGTGGCTCATGTCTGTAATCCCAGCATTTTGGGAAGCCGGGGGGGGGGCAGGGGCGGATCACCTGAGGTCAGGAGTTCAAGACCAGCCTGGCCAACATGGTGAAACCCCATCTCTACTAAAAATACAGGCTGGGTGTTATTGGTCACGCCTGTAATCCCAGCACTTTGGGAGGCTGAGGCGGGCGGATCACTTGAGGTCAGGAGTTCGAGACCAGTCTGGCCAATATGACGAAACCCCATCTCTATTAAAAATACAAAAATTAGGCCGGGCGCGGTGGCTCAAGCCTGTAATCCCAGCACTTTGGGAGGCCGAGACGGGCGGATCACAAGGTCAGGAGATCGAGACCATCCTGGCTAACACCGTGAAACCCCGTCTCTACTAAAAATACAAAAAAAAACTAGCCGGGCGAGGTGGCGGGCGCCTGTAGTCCCAGCTACTCCGGAGGCTGAGGCAGGAGAATGGCGTAAACC